ACGGCTTTGCATTGACGCTCTTTGAGTATTGGAAAGCTTGTAACTTCATTCTGTTTCTCATTAAGAAAAATAAAAGCTGGGGGTTCCTTTACACGGATCAATAGTTTAACTCCTGTAAATCCTTCTGAATAAGCTTTTTCTTGGGCATGACTTAGAAAGTTCGAGTATGACAAAAAAATATAACATGAGCAACAGCAGGAATAATCCTATAATTTACTAATAACTTTTGCATATACCAAAACACAATTCAAATGGCTGAGTTACTACGGGAAACTGTTGAGTCTTTTGAAATAGCTAGTATATCACCTCAATATATCACCCAAAGCAGTTATATTTGACTTATAAGATTTTTTTCAAGACCAGAAATTCAGAAGGGAATTGTAAACTCTCGTCTAAAACTGCATTCAATTGGACAGATCTGCTGATTTTGTGCGAAAATTTAAAAGTCCGGGGTCTATGGTGAACAAAAAGGATATTCCTGAAGGAAAATGTAGGCACTTTTGAGTACTCATCCACAGAATTGCAGAAAATAGCAGCACTCCTCTTGTAAGCTACTCAGTAGAACTTGCCCTAGCTTCAAAGGTCAGAAGAAATTAGCTTGGAGTTTTGAAGCCTGCTTTAAACAGATCATGGCGCATGTCTGGATAATCCCAGTTCAACTTTCAGAAGGCCAAATGAAGAATAGAAGACCAAATTGGAAGATGGAAGGGAATGTCTAAACAGATCTGCCTTCTCTCTGCTGTTATTAAAAGTATACTTATTGAAACCACAGTGTTTGAGCAATTTCAAAAGAAAAGAAGTAGAGGGAAGATGGCAAGAACTAGAGCAGGGAAAGTAAAAAAAAGGAACTTTGAGAAGCAAACTGCTCAGAAAGCAGCATCTTCATCCCAAAGAGGAGGACTACAGCTAAAGCCATTCCTTAGTCAAAGAAGCCTGGTGAATGCACAAAGTCCAGCACTTCATGGTAGCGACTACTTGGCACTGAGACTGCCCCTTGTTCAGCCTCCTTGGATGGTCACCCTATTCTGCTGTGTGCAATTCAGGCATTCCAGCTGTCCCAAGTGACCTCTGAAGCAGAAGTTCTGAAGTCCCCAAATAATGAAGTTACACCAAGTAGATGTTTACATACTGATGAACAGTTACTCCTCAAGGTATTTAGGAGGGAGGTAGCAATGATAAATTAGGAAACTGAGGTACACAGGATTTGGAGAATTTGTCATAAACCAAAACCAACTCAGCTGAAAGGGAACAGAAGAAGCTGAAGGTCTGGTTGAGCATTAGATGAACGATAGACTCAGCAACAAAATGACCGGTTTGGCTTCATTTTCATGATTTGGACTGTATCCAAGCCAACCAAGTCAGTAGTCAGTCGTACAAACAGAAATAGAACTTGGAGTTCCTAACTTCCCGGCCTGTGCTTGTAGATAACCAGGGGACCATTAATGAACTGGTTTTATTCCAGTGTACTTTACAAATGAGTAACAAATTTCTGTCTGCACCTGGTACAGTGTTCACTTGGTAACATCCAAAGGTTTACTTCACAATGGAGGATAAATACTAAAGTCTGGGATTCTCCTTCACTAAATTCTTGGCAGAAGGACTAGAAAATCCCTAAAAGGTCCTATGACAATTTAACTTAACTCCTACCAAGTTAGTGCCAACTTTTCCCAACTCACATCTTCTTGATTTGAAAAACAGTATAAAATGAACATGACAAGCTACAGTACAAATGAAGTGTACCGAAGTTTCACTTAGTAGTGTAGTGTAGTGTAGTGAGTTACAGGGTGGGCTGCTACTTGTTAAGGCCAGCAGTTTGAACCCACCATTATCTCTGAGGAGAGAGATGACGCTGTCTACTCTTATAAAGATCTGCAGCCCTGGAAACCCTATGGGGTCACCATGAGCCGGAATGGACTCAATGACAGTGAATTTTTATGTAGTTCAAGTCTGAGGTTAAGAACCTGAATCAGTGATAGTTTTGAAATCCAGTCCTAAGACTCTCTGGGAACATCTTGTAAGACGGGGGAATAGTTAAAGCTATGGAATGTCACCCTTTTAAGAGTTTAAAAAAAAAATTAATATTAGGAGCAAGCAGCTCTGAAGCACAGTAGTACTTGGCTACTAACCAAAAAGTTGGTGGTTTAAACCCACCAGCTGCTCCACAGGAGAATGATGTGGCAGATTGCTTGTGTCAAGATGTGCTGTACAGACTTGGAAACCCTACAGGGTCTTTAGAAGTCGAAATTGACTCAATGGCAACAGGTTTAGGTTTTGTGGAATAACAGGAGCAAGGCTTAGTTCTGAAGAACTCTCCCAAGATTCTTGTTATTAAGGCCAAAGATTCAGAAATGATTTGACCATCAGTAATTGTTACTGAGATTCATACAAATGACCCACAAATATAAAGTTCACTGCTCAAATCACTCAGAAAATCTCTCTTACTTAAGAACCTACCTAGACATCATTTTAACTGGCTTTTTTATTTTTAGCAACAAAACTATTATTTGAAGATAGCCCCGAGCCATAAATCTCCCTCTGGACTTAGGTTTCAAGTAGTAAGAAACAAACTGGTTTAGTCTGTCATGCAAGAACCAGAACTTCGCTTCTTGTCTTTCTTTATAAAGTTGCTATAGCTCTAAGCTTGAATTTTATTTTTTCCAAAGCGGACTCTCCCCCCCCCCGCATCAAAGACACATATGTGAAGTAGCTACAAACTGGTATTTTGGTAGCATTTAGGGGGGTCTACAGAAGTGATTTTTAATTACTTGAAATTCCAAAATAGAGGCTGGCTCCCCAATAACAGTTCACCAGTGGCTGCAAAACGCTCCCCTCACTTTGTTTAGTTTTGGGGTAAAAATTCTTTAAACCACAAAGAATTGGTATTCTTATAAAGATTACATTGGAATGAGTTCTTTTTTTCCTCTGAAAAAGGGCAGCCATTTCTCCAAAAGTTACGGCTCGGGTTTCAAAATGCAAACAGATGTCTCTGAATCAACCAAAATGGGCCACTCCATTGCTAATCCTGGGCTGTAGCGACTATGAGTTATTTTCTATCCTAACTCTGCAAAGGGCAAAGACCCACCCCTTTGGTTTGAACTTTCAAGACAAGTGGCACACTACACTTCGGGTCGTTAAAGGAACCGGGGCTGGGGGGTTAGGGTGCTCAGAGATTTCCCAGCACTGGGCTCGCCAAGGTTCCCACGTGCCCCATCTAGCTGGTCCCAGGGGGACAATCGGTGGTTACTACAGTAGGAAGGCTGCTCCTTGTCGCAGCCTGGGCTTGGTGTACGGGCTTGGAGGTGACGCTAGGTGCACCAGGCTCTCCGCCCTCGCAGCCAGGCCGAAGGCTAGACCGGGGGGCGGGGGACGCGCGGCCAGAGCTGCGACCTCCACCCTGACCCGCGGCGCCAGCCTTTGGAATCTGGCGTCGTCCCAGCACACAAACGAAGGTGGGGGTCCCACTACGCTGCGGCTGGCTGCCATAACCAGCCGGATGGGGTGGGGAGAGAACTTGGCTTCAAGATCTGCGCCCTCGTGGAAGGACCGCAGAGCCTTTTCGCCCGGTCTCTCCCCTACTGGGCTGTCGGGAAACACGCGGTAATTAGCCAAGAACCCTGACCTCTGTAAGAAACGAGGCTGCGGGGTTGCCGGGATGGTTTGAGGACCGGGCCCAGCCGGGGAGACGCCAACCTTCAATCCCCCGGCCCCCAGTACCCACCCCACCGTCTCCCGGCGCCGCCACTTCAGGCAGCCCACTCGGTCCGGCCTCTCCCCGCGCCCGGACCACCCCCCACGGGGTGCTCTCACTGCGCAGCGAGTCCCTCCGCTGCCTCCTCCCAGCCCAAAATGGCGGCGGCGGCCACCGATCTTCTCGTCGCCTTCCTCTAAGGCCGAGAATCCCTCCGCATCCAGGCCCCGCCCCCTTTGCCGGATCTATTTTCTGCCTAGTCAATATTAACGCCATCAATGAACTCTTTAATAGCGCTCGAAAGGCGGGCTCGATTGTGCTTCCGCACGGCTAATCATTGACGAAAGTAGAAATATTGGCATATATTTTGACCAATCGGAGAACGTAAGTGATTAGCGAGGGACGTTACACACACAAAGATAGATGGGTTTTGGAGTTTTCGGGTGTGGCTGTTAACGTGACAGGATTTTGGTCCGCCTTCCTAGGCTAAAAGAACTACAATCCCTAGCAGGCTCTGCGTTACTCAGACTGTCTCCTCCCCCAGCAACTCTAGTTTCTGAGCGGCTTGACCAGAGCTGCTGCAACAACAGTAAGAGGTAGGGCTCGGACGTTGGGAATTGCACAGACAGGTTGTCGCACAAAAAGACACACAGATGTAGTCGAGTGTGCAACCCTTGACAGCAAATAGGTCAGTTCCGTCTTTGCAAAACCGCCTTCCTAGACCATTTCCCCTCATTCAGGGAATCCATCTTTATCCCAGTTGGGCTTCCCTTCCAACTGCATGTAGCGCTATGTCTTCACCTTCCCCTTTCCTCTGCATTCCGCCCTTAAAGGAAGGAGGCAAGCCAGGCTCTGTAGAAGTACCTCTGCCCAGGCCCCGGGCCCAGCCCTGCTCCAAGAGGCGTTGTCTTCTGGAATCCCGGTTGAGGAGGTGGGGGCCAGGAACCAGGATTGGGGCCTCTGGGCTCAGTGGGGAGAGGACCCCTCTTAAACCTGGTGCATACTGTCAGAGCCACAGACCCACTCCACTCCCACTGGGGTCATTATTGTAGATAATATATTGGGGCAGTTTACCTTTCCCTTTTGGATGTTGGGGGCAGGGAGAGTAAGCCTAGTTTCCTAGTTGCCAGCCTGGGCTTCAGTGGCTTCCTGGAAGACATTATAGGGTATAAACCATAGCCTGAGGCCTGAGGAACAGCACTGAAAAGATGGACCCTTATTCTCCATTTGAGCCCTGGCTGGCTGGAGGTGTGGAAGCAGCCTCCCAAGGTCTGCCTTTGAAAATGAGGATGTGCTGGTCTGATGCTACAAAATGGCTGCCACTGCCTTAGTAAAGACTTAGCTACTTAGCCCTCCTGAGAATTCCACCTCCCGACTTCGATTTCTGTTGTACTTTAAAGCAGGGGTCAGTCGTTAAAGACTTCTGCTGAGACTTGGAACTGAAGAAGGTGGTCATTCCAAACTAGATCCACTGTAATACAGAGTCACCAGCAGTCCTGGAGGAGGCCAAGGTAAGTCCAACCCTACCATCCTCCTGAGTATGCTGAACTTGGATCCTACAGCTGGAATCCTGGCTTGTCTCAGATGTGATGGCAGATTTAGAAAACTAACATTTATAAATGAATCCCTACTATGTGTTGGGCAATATGCCAGTTGCTAAAATGGTGGTATCGTGAAATTCAAGCCTTTCAAAGTTGTTTGCCATCAAGTCAGTTCAGACTCAAAGCCACACTGTAAAGGGTTTCCGAGAGTGGCTGATGGGTTTGAACTGCTGACGTTGCAGGTACCATTCCAGTGCTTGTCCTACAGTACCTCATCAGGGCTCTTTCAAGATTCAGAATGATTATTTCTATTCTCCCGCAGCTAAGGTTCTGAGAACTGAAATACCTTGTCCAGAATCAGGCAGCCTGTAACTAACAGACCCAGGGTATAAAGAACCAAGAACCTTCTGACAACTGAACCATATCATGACCTCAAGGCCACAGAACTTGGCTGAATATTTATATTTTGTCCAGGCTGAGAACCTAATCAGAAGCAGGAAAGAGAGTTTGAACAGTTGATCTGTAATTTGGGACCGCAATGGGAGTAGGAGATCACCCAGGAGAGAGGGGAGAGGCTAGTTGTATCAGGCCCAGGAGGACATCACCTTCTCATCTGAATGTTCTCAGCTGCTGTCACTCATGGCAGCCCCATGCGTAATGGACCCGAACGCTGCCCACTCCTGTGTCATCCCCATGATCACCTGCAGATTGTTAGAATCCATGGGGTTTTCATTGACTGTTTTTCATAGCCTAGACCTTTCTTCCTAGTCTGCTTTAGTCTGGAAGCTACCCTGAAACCTAGTCAGTATCAAAGCAACAGACAAACCTCCACTGACATACATAGTAGTTGTACATGACATGCATTAGCCAAGAATCGGAACTAGATTTCCTGTGTGGGAGGCAACAATTCTACCACAGAACTTCCCAAACCTTCCAACTCTGCTCTTTCTGACTGCCCCCACTTTGCCCTCTCTTCTACCCCATCCTGTAACTCACTCTAGGTAAGGAAGGAACTTAGACTAGGGCTCAGAGCTGCTTCTAACCCACACTACCTAGCTTTTTCCAGTGCATCCTGGATTTACTTAAAGTTTATAGCATGCTACGGCTAGAGGGTTCAGAGAGGGCAAATGACTGAGCCAAGTCATGCAGCTTATCTGCTGGACACCTACTCCTCACTTATACTATTTCCTTATCTGACATTTCACATTTAAGACAACAGTAAAAACCAATCTATCCATTTTGCACATTAACAATGTATATGGGGCAGTAACGAATACTGAGCTGCAAGGCAGGAATAATGTTGACTGTGATGTTTAAGACTTTGTGTCAGCTTGGCTGGGCCATGCTTCTTAGTTGTTTGGCAGTTAGGTAATTGGGCAGTTATGCAATATGTAGTTATTCTCTATTCTGTGATCTGATATGGTCATCCTCTGTTTTTGCAGAATGCAAACTTTTATATAACAACCTGGTCTTTGGAACCTAACCATGTCATCAGTTGAGAAGGTGGGTGTAGTGATGATTGATAGAGGGACAAACTTCAGGAACAAGCATGTGGGCCTGAGGGGCAGATTTAGCTTGGATAGGGGAAAGATTTTGCTGAGAGCTAGAAGCAAGTAAGTCTTTATACAGCAGAAACAAACCACCTGCCTCCGTATCGCTAGTGGCCTTGCCTCTCCCAGGTTGGGCAGCAGCTCTGTTTCAGATGATCCTAGCTTGTTGCTCTTGATTGAAGATCTTTCTGCTGGTGAAGTAACAGTACAACACATAACACACACAATACACACACTCTGACATACCTCCTTTTCCTTGAAACAGTTCTCTTCAGGGTCTCCAAAACCCACATAGCATGTCCCCATCTTTTATAGTAGCGCATACACTAGGCCCCCCAGTCCACACACTGTGCCCGGACGGACCCATGCTCACATGTCTCTGAGCTATGTTGTGTATCATAAAACAACATACCAATAGCAGTGGTTATTAATAGAAATTCCCCAGACCACAAGTTTAGAGCAATTCATCCCTTGTTCCCCACACTCAGTATGCCCACCCTCACCACACAGAGATAAGCAGATGCCTCAAACACACACATACACATACACACTCATTCTTAGCTGAATCTTTTCCACCTCTTAGCTAAGTTCTGGAACTCTCTCAGCTGCAGACTGAAGACTGGTCTTTCTCTTCTGAACTAGAACCTCTTTCCTGCCCTTCATATAGAAGAATGATATACTAGCTTCAGCTTGGAATAAATATATTTTTTATTCTGTACTGTAGAACCATGAAAATGAGAATTTCACTGTCTAAATCTCTTTTGGGTCCCCTTGTCTTGTAGACTTTAGGCCACTTAACAAACATTTATTGAGCACTTCCCTTATGTTGATGATGGGGCTAGAGTAGTGAATTAAATGGACAAGATACATTTTTAATGAGAGGAAGATAGATGGTAAATGATCATTTCATCAGTGTTATATGGTGTGGTGCTGTAGGATAATGCACTGCACTGCAAGGTTGGTTTGAGCCGCAAGGCTGGCGGTTCAAACTCACCAGTCACTCCTCAGAACCCTATACAGTGTCGCTATGATCAGAACCGACTGGATGGCACTTAACAACAACAACAACATGGGATGTTAGCAGAGTGACTAATAGGGAGTCACTGGGCATGGGAGGCAGGAGCTACTTTTGATAGGTGGTCAGGGAAGGTCTCTCTAAAGAGTTGACAATGGAACTGAACCCTAAAGGATGAGAAAGAGTCAGCTGTGCAAATACCTGGACTTAGGATGGCTGTAGGATAAACACTGGACTGCTAACCAAACAGTTTAAACCCACCAGTGACTCTTCGGAAACCCTATGCAGGATCGTTATGAGCCAGAATTGATTGGATGGTACCTAACAACAACATCATTTATGGGGCCTAGTGCAAAAGGACCCTTTGTTGAACAATGATTTAGAATTTCACTAAGACAACAACAGAGCATTATGCCAAGTGTGGGACTTTTCTGAGCGTGGGGCCTATAAAGCCAGCCCTGTTTAAGGGACACACTTTCTAGGTGGAGAGAAGGACAAGTACTATTTGGGCTTCTGATTGAACAAACACATGAAAGCCACCTTCCATCTCAGTTTTTTTCTCCTACTTCATTCATTCAGATAGCTTTTCTTGAACAATTACTTTGTGCCAGGTATTACTCTAGGCATTGATATAGAGTGAACACAGGTAGAATCCCTGATCTTACTGTGTACATATTTGAGGTGGAGTGCGGTGGGCAGGTATTGACAGGCAAGTAAGGCTTCATAAAATGGTAGCAGAAGCGGTGAAGTGATCAGGTTAGCTGGGTGTGGGAAGGCTGGATTTAGGCTAGGTGGAGAAGGAAAATTTCTACCTTCAAGGGCAGGATGTTTGTGATCCCTTCTTCCTTGTCCTTTTTTTCAGAGCTTTGGGGCTCCAGGGAGCCCTGAAACACCCTCTGAACCTCAGGACCCTGGCAGTTCACTGCCCCCAACACCTCAGATGGAGAGCCACTCAGAGGATGAGGATCTTACTGGGGCTGGTGGTGGCCTGGGCTGGAACAATAGGGGTCCTCCAACCCAGAGCCCAGGGGGCTGCTCAGCAGAGGCGGTGCTGGGCCGGAAGAAGCACCGCCGGCGGCCTTCCAAGCGCAAGCGGCACTGGCGGCCCTACCTGGAGCTGAGCTGGGCTGAGAAGCAACAACGAGATGAGAGGCAGAGCCAGAGGGCATCGCAGGTGCGCCAGGAGATGTTTGCCAAGGGTCAGCCTGTAGCACCTTACAACACCACCCAGTTCCTGATGAATGACCGAGATCCAGAGGAGCCTGATCTGGATGTGCCCCATGGGGTCTCCCACCCAGGCTCCAGCGGGGAAAGTGAGGCAGGAGACAGCGATGGGCGGGATCAGGCTCAGGGGGAGTTCCTGCAGAGGGATTTCTCTGAGGCCTATGAGTGCTACCACACGGAGAGCCTGCAGGGCCGCAGCAAGCAGGAGCTGGTGCAAGAGTACCTGGATCTGGAGAGGCGGCTGTCCCAGGCCGAGGAGGAGACACGAAGGCTGCAGCAGCTGCAACAATGCTCCACCAGCCGGCAGGTGGAAGCATTGACTGCCGAGATAGAGAGGCTCCGAACTGAGAACCAGCGACTTCGGCAGGAGAATGAGATGTGGAACCGAAAGGATAGCAGCTGCAGTGAGGAACTGGGAACCTAGGGGCATCCTGTCCCTGTCCCAGCTAGGCTAAGCTAAGGAGAAGATGCCATTTCACACTCAGGCCAGCTGTGCCCTGTGACAACAGCTGAAATCAGTTCAGTCGTCCACCTTGTCATTTCCAGTTTGTTGTTTGATGCTGTCTTATATTTCATAAGGAAATTAAAAGGTCTTAGTAAGACCAAACAGGAATGGCTAGTATTGACTTTATGGGCTTTGGAAGGGCAGTCCAACCCCTAGGCTGCTCTGGGCAACCAAGCTTAGCCCTTTTGGGGAGGTCTGGGATTTAGGGTCTCAGTTCCCCCATTGCTACCATTAGGGGAACAGTACATCTGTGGGTTGGGTACCTATCAGAATTCCCAGGATGCCAGAATTCTCTCTGGATCTAGAAACAATCAGACTGCACTGCAGGTTTTCTAGAGAGGGATGCAAAGGTGGCAGGGAGCTCAGTTGGAGTGCCCAGGTTCAGCTGGAACCTAACTCGAGATGCCAAGAAGCTGTGAAGGAGCTGGGACTGTAAGAGACAGCCCAACTCAGGTGCCCGTTGCTCTGTTCCAAGGGTTCTTTCAAAGTTTGCTCCCAAACAACACAAAAAAACCCAGTTGCCATCAACTTGATTCCAACCCAGGGCAATCCCATGTGTTGCAGAGTAGAAGACTGAACTTCCGGAAGCAGATGAGCAGGCCTTTCTTCTGAGGTTCCCCTGGTTCAGGGATGGCTTACCCAATGAGTAAGTTAGGCCTGGGTTTAATTATGCTACTTAGTAATCTGTAGTGAATAATTTCACCAGGGTTTCACCACATCAAAATTATTCACTAGAGGTTAGGAAGCATAATTAAGCCAGTGCATACCAGTAAGCACTCTGGTAAAATTATTCGCTACAGATTAGTAAGTAGTCACAATTAAACCTGTTCATACCTTACTTACTAAAAACTAACGAACACTGTACTTGCGATTAATCCATTCCTGCTCTGGATGGGCTCAAATCTCCAGCCTTTCTGTTGTTCTGATTTGCTCCGTAGGCTCCCTGCATTCCTGTATTTAGCGGGTGAGGGTGGAGTGTCTTGTGCCTTTTTCCTTGACAGCACCCCATCTTCCCCGGCAAAGACTTGGGAGGGAGGTTAGTCATCTCATGTGTGCCCCATTTTCCTGAACGGGCACTTACAAATCAGCACCCATGCATTTTCCTGATGGAAAATAAAGCCCAAGAGGCAGAGGGGGACAGAGGTGGATCCTCAGTGGTGCTGGCTGCCTCGTCTTCCTGAAGCCTACCCTGTCTCCATGTGTATCTGTCCTAATCACTCCTGTGGTAAATTCCCTCTGAAGTGTGTGAGCCCTTCACCCAGCTGCATAATAGAGGGTCAACCTGTATAGACACCACCCACATGTATAGACTCCGCCACATGCCAGCCACAATGGGAGCTCTAAGAAGAGCTCACAGACTCACACTTAGACCCACCCTTCAGCGGACACCCTGTCTCTTCCCAAACCTGCCAGGAGCCCTTGCTCAGATAACTGCAGCTGTGTTGGGGATGTTAGTCAACTCACATGTGACCCTGGAGTTGGTGGTACTGCCATGCAAGGGAGGGGTGGATGCCTGGCTAGTCCAACCTGGCTTCCATTCCAGGCTCTTGACAGGCCACAGTGGGCAAGAGAACGACTCAGCCTAGGAGCTAGGGGATGGAAATGCTGACGAACCATGTGTGTTGCCAGGATAACTTTCATTTTTGTTCTACCACACCCAGACCAAGCCAGCGCCTTCCACAATGAAGCAAGTGGGAAAGACTGGGAAGGGATGGATTTCAGGAAAGACATTGGCCCATCCTTGGAGGATCTGCCTTTGGAACGCTGGCTGAGAAAGCCCACACAGCTTTATGAGGAAGGGTTGGCTGGAAATGATCATCCCCACTTTGCAGATGAGAAACCCAAGGCTTAGAGAGGAAGTGACTTTCAGGATTCCAGGGAAGCTGACTGAGGCCTGCCTTCCCCCATAGGGTGCTAGTATGGGACCTGAAGGCCCCTTAGCCTGACACAGCTGCTGCATTCCTCAGTGTGCCTGGAGGGGGAGGGCAGGATGAAGGTTGTTTATCTGGAGACATTTGAGTGTGTGTGAGTGTGTGTGTAAAACTAGGAGGGGGAGAACATTCCAGAGGGCTGGTGTAGTATAGGGGGAGGGAGCCCAGGGCACTAGGGTGGTGTGGAGGGAAAGGGTGTGTCTGGGAAGTAGCTCTTCCCTGAGTGGGTGAGAGCTACTCCCTGAATGCAGAACAGGGGCCAGGAGGGGGCAGGTGAGGGGCTTGGCCCTTTTTGGCCTAGAAGCCAGAGAAGAGCCTAGAGATGGGAAAGCTGCTAGCCAGCCTCTCCTCCTCCTCCCTGCTGCCCTACCACCCCTCCACCCAGCACATAAAATGGCTGAAGGGCTCTTGGCCAGGGTAAACACCAAGGTGGTAGAGGACAGGGTGGGATAAGAGGTAGACAAAGGAGAGGGGGTGTGAACAGGAAAAATGTCCAGAGGGACAGTGAAGGAGGATCCCTGTCACCCCTCTTCCACCATCTGGTTCTCTGAGCTCACTACCCTCAGCCCAACCCTGTGAGGAGGGACGAGACCTCTGGGAGCTGGGGTGTGTGAGGCTCCCTTCTGGGGACAGCAGGCTCAGCTCCAGGTGGCAACCAGGCCTGGGTCCATCTCCTCACCTCCCTGCTTTTTCTCGGAACAACCTTTCCAGTTGTTCCCTCTTGGGCTGCTTGGTTCTGAGGCTTGACTCCTCCCTTCCCCCACCAAGATGATGCAGGACGCTCCATTTACAGACCTACACTGCACTCAGCAGGGAGGCCAAGCTTGGACCCACCCATTTCTCCTCCAAAAGCCTTTCCAGGGCCTTACTTCCCTTCAGCCCAGGTGCTGTCTAGAACCTTCTTGGTCTCCTGGGTCAGAAGAAGGAGGACCAGAGAGGCAAATAGTTCACAGGAGTGATTGCAGTCATTTCCCGCCTCTCCTGCCTAGCCTGGTCTGGGATCTCCCTTTCTTCCCCATCAAGGACTCCCCATCCCAGTGAAAACTCCTGTGTCTAGCAGACCTGCAGTGGGACAGGGAAGGTCATAAGGTGGGCAGAGTCACCCAAGGGTCAGGAGGAAGTTGCCAGGAAGTGGGGAGGAGGTTGGGGTGAAGTAATTCATTATGAGGAAAGAGAGTGGCTAGGGCCCATTGCCCCTTTGGGGAGTAGGCCAGAATGACACTGGCCCTTTAAGTGGGGGGTGCCAATCAATACCCTCCCCCATCCAACCCAACTGTGGGTCCACTGAGCATGTGCAGGAGCTGTACAAGAAGGGAGGGGTGAGGGGAAGAAGGGGATAGATTCTGAGGGAGCACCTCACCCCTGCTACTTCCTGTAGCTGCCCCCATTCCCCTTCCTGGGTCTGACAAAGGAGCCCACATTGCTCACCCAATCCCTTCCCCTATCCCAGACCCTGTGCTGCTGCCCTCTGGGGGACAGCCTATGAGGAGGGGTGATTGCAGGGCACTGAGGCCTCTGCTCTGGGAGATGGCAGTCTTACCACTGCCTGGAGGTGGCACATCAGCCCAGTTCCTTACTTCCCGGTGTGGACAGTGGGTAGTCGGCCTGCTGGTTAGCATGTTTGATTTCATTCCATTGGTGCCAGACATTTTGAAAGAACCATCTACTTGTGATGACATTGAAAATTAAAGAGAGCTGAAAAGATGTGGCCTCTACCCCCATCCACCCGGAGCTTTCAGGGGAGTCTGAGGTGAAGCAAACCCTCCAAGACTGAAGGTGTCATCCCTAGATGCCCTCTCATTTGGGCTGTCCCCTCCCTGTCCAGGTATCAAACTCTGCCTCCTTCTCCACTCCCCTCAGCTGCTGAGGAAACCCCTCTCAAATCTCTCCTCATCCCAAACTTGCCTTTTTCTCTCACACCTCCTCCCATCCTCATATCTCAGTCCTTCTGTCACCTTTCAGCACTGGACTTCGAGAACCACAAGTTCAACAGTTCAAACCCACCAGATGCTCCTTGGAAACCCTATGCAGGATTGCTATGAGTCAGAACTGACTAGGCAGCACTTAACAACAACAACAACCACTTTTCATGTCCTTCCTTCCTCTAATCTTGTCACGGGTATCATTGTTATTATTTTGAATCCAGGTGACATTCCCATAACGTAAAACTAGCTATTTTAAAGTGAACAGTTCAGTGGCTTTTAATACAGTCACAATGTTGTGCATCTCATTACAAAACATTTTCATCACCCCAAAAGGAAACCCCATAACTATTAAGCAGTTAACCCCCCACCACTTTCCAAGCCTCCCAGGCTTGACACCCACCTTTCTGTCTCTATGGATTTACCTATTTTGACTTTTTCATATAAAAAGAATCATACAATGGTGACCTTTTGCATTTGGATCCCTTCACCCAGCATAAGTTTTAAAAAAAAATTTTAATTGTGAATTGAGTGAAGGTTTTCAGAGCAGAAAATCAGTTTTACATTCAACAAATCATATACTTTACTTCATTACAAAGATTGCAATCCCCTCCATGTACCATCAGTTAACAGTGTTTACCTCGATTCTCTTTAACTCTTGCATTCCTCCCGGTGTCTCCCACCACCTTCCGTCTTGCCTCTGCAAACTGTCTCTTATATATTGCCTTCCCCATTACCCGTGTTAACATGTCTGGCACTGTCAGATAAGCACTGGACCGCAAGGTCAATTTGAACCAAAATGTTGGCGGTTCAAACGTATTAGCTGCTCCTCGGAAATGCTATACAGAGTCACTGTGATTCGGAGCTGACTTGTCAGCACTTAAAGTAAGCTTTAACTCTTGCATTCCTCTCTGTTTCTCCTGCCATATTCATCTTTCCTCTATCAGCCTCCCGCTTGTATATTACCTGCCCCTTCACCCATCAGCCTTGAAGGTTATCTACAATGTAGTGTGTATCAGTATTTGATTCCTTTTTGTGGTTGGGTA